AAAATTTTTTTTTTTTTTTTTTTTTTTTTGTCATTTTCACCTCAAAATGGACCAAAATGATATTATGAATCACAATTCACTACAACGGGTATGATATTGTTCACTTTGAGCATAAGCTCTCGTGACTTTGTTTTGGGCTTCCCAAAATGCCTCATACCAACGGAGATGGTATTCCTCACTTATGAACTCATGATGTTCCACTAAATTAACCAATGTGGGACTCACTTTCAATAATCCTCAACAAATGATTGTGACGTTAGAGTTATTTTTGGGTATTCGTTACGTATCATACACATTAATATCATCAAATTTGAATATTCCCAATGATAATGTCGTCCTTAATATAGTTTTTTTCGTCAAATGGTTTAAACGACCCAATTAAAATTTTTAAACTAGGGTTTCTATTTTGGGTTCTTCTTTGCGGTGCTATAGGCTCATTTTCTTCAAAATTGAAGTCCACGTATTGTTTCCCGCTTGACATATTAAGGTATTGAGAATAGAAAGTGGCTTTTGGGAACTGCCTTGACACGCTAGCAAAAAGCTGCAAACAGTACCCAACAGAAAACTGGCAAGAACAAATGTCTACGTCGGAGCTACTTTTTGGTGCTGGTTACAAATCATACGCATGAAAATCATCAAATTTGAACGTTACTCACAATAATGTCAAAAAGTATCAACTGTAACTTAGTTTTTTTGTCGAATGCTTTAAATGATACAATTAGGACTTTTAAACTAGGGTTTCGGTTTCAAGCTTGTTTGTGCCACTACATACTCATTTTCTTCAAAATTGAAGTCCATGTGTTTCCATGCAGGAGTATTAAGGTATTGCAAACTACCCTAACACGCAATTTAAAAGCGACAAACGGTACTCGGCAGAAAGTGGGCCAAAAAGATTGTCGGGGTTGAAGTTATTTTTTGGTGTAGGTTAAGGATCATCTCCCCTCCCTATTTCTCTAGACCCCTATTTCTCTAGACCCATTCACTGACGTTAAAATCATGAAATTTAAATATATCTCACGATAATGTCAAAAAATATCAATCGTAACTCAGTTTTTTCACCTCATTAAATGCTTTCAATGGATTTTCGAACTACAGTTTCAATTTCGAGTTTGTTTATGTGGTGTTATAGGTTCCTTTTCTTTGAAATTGAAATTCACATATTATTTCCATGCGAAAATATCACCGTACTTAGAACAAAAAGGGACTTTTGGAAACTACCATGACATGTGAGTAAAAAAGTGCACATGGTACCCAACAAAAAATGAGCTAAAAATATTGTTGGCGTCGAAGCTATTTTTTGGTCGTTGGTTACAGATCATATGCATTAGAATCATCAAATTTAAACAATTCTCACGATAATGTCAAAAAATTTCACCTAGTCGAATGCTTTAAACAACTTAATTAGGGTTTTCAAACTAGGGTTTTAGTTTTGAGTTAGGTTTTTTTTTTCTCGGGAAAAGAAAGTGGCTTTTGAAAAATGCCTTGACATGTAAGCAAAAAGCAGCTAATTACTCCAAAAATGGACAAAAAAAGATTGTAAACGTCGAGTTTTTTATTTTTTTTTTGTTCTTATCGATCATACGTGTCAAAATCATAATTATTTAAACATTCTTCATGATAATGTCAAAAAATATCGATTGTAACTAAGTTTTTTCATGAGTGTTTTAGACAACCTAATTAGAGTTTACAAACTAGTGTTTGGATTCAGATTCAGAAGGTGGTTTTTGGGAATTGTCCTGACACTCGATCCAAAAAGCCGCAAACGGTACGTGGCGGAAAACGAGGCAAAAAGATGATTATAACACAAATTAATCAATAATCATTTAAATAAACAAATTCTTCAGCAACTAACCTTCTAACGAGTTTAACATTGTCACATAACTAAATACAAATAAATAACAACACTCTAGAACAATTGATTAATATAAAAGTAAGGAAATAGTTGGATGATCCTAAAATTAAGAAATAATAAAAATAATTAGTTTAAAGAAATTATACATAACAAAAACTATTATAAAAATACTTCACTTACCATGAAAAAAAATTTATAAATAATCTAAAAATTCCATAGACATGTATTAAAGGCAAATTCAGAACATGAACCCAACCCAACCCAAACTAAATACGTGATCTCAATATACTTAATAATATTAATCTAATAAATTAAAATCTAAATCGAAGTTATTCAGTTTTAAAAAATAAATCCAACTTATAATTGGAATGTTGATTCTACCCACAAAATTAAAAAAAGGGTGGGAATAAAGGTGAAATTTAACCGATTTAAAAAATCCGAAAAACACCCAACATTTTTAATTAAAAAAAAAAGTGTGAAAAAATAGGCGCGCTCTAGAATGACCGTTACCTTCTAGACTTCACTCGGTGTTGCGTTGGCATACGCTAACTTCCTTCTAATCACTCCACAGAATTCAGAAGCTATCGCTCTGGCAGCTCCTACTATGGCGTCTCCTCTTCACAGCCATCTTCACTACAATTCTTCTCTCTCCACTCTCATTCCCAAC